CACACACACACACACACACACACACACACACACACACCAGGTTTCACTTCTTTGCTTATCCAGCCTACACCACGTTATTTTATTTCAACTCTCTTGCCAACATCCCCAGTGTCTGGACTCCTTTGTTATTCCATAAACCACGCTTCATAAACCCTAGTCTTGATGCCTACAGCTATCTCCTCTCCTACCCAGCCTGAGGGGCACTGTAAGTAACCTGTACACTCCCGTTCCCACCCAACAAACACAGATCAGCTCCCAGCAATGGATTGTAATCCATGGAATACAATCCACACATCTGTCCCAAGCCAGATTCTGCTCCACTTCCCAAAATAGGCTTTCCATACCTATCTCCAAACACCTCATTTTTCTGTGAAGACAGAGCAATGTCTCCATTTCACAGAAAAAAATGAGGCTGTCAAGCCACAGTCCCAACCAGGAGCGAGGTGCCAGTGCACCATGACAAAGTCCAAGGGAGGCTGGCACTCTCAAAGGAAATGCAATGCCCGACTGTCCCATGCCATGCTAACAATCAGCTGGACGTGGCTCAGGTTCATGCCACGTCTCTGAGCTGGGTTTCAGTAGCTGCTGTGGAGACAGTAGCAGGAGACAGAATCCATGCAGAAGAGGAAATGCCAGGGTCTAAAAAGCTGTGCGGCACCCAATTTACAGATGGTTAGTTCTTCACATGACTACTAAGCTATTAAGACAAATACTTATTAGACTGTTTGGATGTAACTACTTACTGAAAAGAACTCATACGTTTTGGCTTCAGTTTTACTTGCAGAGAGACATGAGGCTAAGGAGGCTATGACTGCAGGACACTGAGAACCTGCCCTGATGGAGCAGGAACTGCCCAATCTCGCTGCTAATCTGCATTCCCGCTCTGTGGGAGCCCACCTCATGCTCATCCCCCAGGGCCCAGAGGAGCGGAGCCTCTGCCATCCGAAACTTACGCCCCCCCCATGTCAGTCACCCCAGATGGGGCCCTGTGACGGCAGATCATCATAAAGTGCTCGATTCTTGAGTGACGATTGCTCTACGAGGAGGAATTAAAGTGTCTTGTTTTTAGGGAAATAATACTGACATATTTAGAGGTGAAATAGTGACATGATGTCAGCAACTTAGTTCAAAATTGTTCAAAAGGGGAAGAGTGGAGAGCTGGCAAATTTTAACAGTTAGTGAATCAGGTAAACTTCACTGCAGTTGAGTATCCATTGTACCATTCTTTCAAGAGTGAAATTTTTCAAGGGATAGGCTCTTGCTATAAATTGTGATGAATAATACTGATCAAAAGATACTTTCATTTTAAACCCCCATGTGCTTGTTGAAAACAAAACAAAAAACCTTGTCACCCAATCATTATTTATAGAATGAAGTTGTATACCTGAAACCCCAAAACCAATCTGATAGGATGGCAGGCTGCAAGACTAACATTCAAAACTGCACTGCTTTCCCACAGACAAGTCACAAACAGTACATTAATGAAAGACCCCTCAAATGATACTGAGTAAAATCTTAAAACATGTAAGAATAAATTTAAGTAATGTACTGAACCCATATGAACAAAACACTGCTGAGCGATGTTTTGACAACAAAGATTCAGTATTGGAAACATGTTCAATTCTACCCTGTAATAATCTAAAAACTTAATGCAATCAAAATAAAACTATCAACTGATTTTTAACAAGGCAAAATTCTAAAGTTCACATCAATAAACCAGAAAAGGAAAATAAGAAACACACAAACATTTGTTTATCACTACAAAGAGAAACACAGCAAAGAGAAATGAGAGAAACCACAGGTGGGCCAGGGAGCAGCTGAGGGGCAGGGCGGGACCAGCATGAGACTGGCTGGGCTCAGAGCACAACTTCTGTGTCGTTCCGGCTTCTACTAGTAAGCTGGCATCCAAATATCAGAAGAGATCCCTAGCCCTCAATTTCTGCTGCCTTGGGCTCTCTTGGTGGTCACACTGACCTAACCCCAACTGAGGGCAGTTAGTCGAGGACTGCGGAGCTTAAGGATGGGAAAGGGGTGGGCCTAAACTAGAAAGCCCGCTGGTTGAACGACCCTGTACTTACTCCGAATCCAAGATGCTTCTTAGCAGGCTTACTTTCAGCGGTGTGGACCAAGCGACTGGACCACCGCTTCCGTGTGACACACGATGACACGATGAGTGCGTGCATATGCTCCCGCCCTGAAGAGCCAGGCTCCTCGCTGTGGAAGAAGGGACATCGGGGGCAGGGGGGCACGCAGGAGCCCTGTAACAGGGACTGGCATTGGAGATACCAGTATGAATTCACAATTTCTAAGCTATGTGTGTGGACCAGCACTGGAGGACACGGTAGGATTTTACAAAATAATAATTTTAGACTTGGCAAGTATTTCAAAGTAAGTTATTTCACAAGAATGAGAACATATTGCTTGTTGTAGCTTTGTATGGACGAACTGCTGAAAACAACCTGTATGTCTAACAACAGTGATTATAATAACATGTGTACCGTGTAATACCATGTGGCTGTTAAAAAGGAGGCAGGTCTGTGAGGAACAGGTGGGAAACAATACCTAAGGTAAGTTAACCCAAGAAAAAAGGCCCAAAGCAGTGTGGGCCAGGTCACTGGGGGCATAGAGATGTCCCATAAGGACACACCGGGACTGCTGACAGAGGCCACTTCCAGGGGAGCTGCGGCCAGGGGCAGCAGGGACTCGGCTTCTCTCCACATCCTTCTCTGCTGTGTGGTTGCTCACTATGCACATGCGGAACTTAGTTCAAAATTTTAATATACTATTATTTAACACAAACATCTCTGCTTTTAAAAAATTAAACAATGGTCATTGCTGAAGTGCTGCAGCTGAGTGAGACAGGCATGCCTACAGTCTGCAGAAGGCATAGGGCAGCACACATTTTCTGGAACACAATGTGGCATTCTATAAAGAACTTGGAAAGCCTCATTAATGCAGTAAAGCCAACTGTAGGGACCTATCTGTGGATAAAATGAGAGTTCCTGTGGCCGGGATTCTCCCCTGGCCCTGGTTGACTAGCTCACTGCACACCTGTGGGCAATACATGGCTGTTGACTCTATGTAAAAAGCTCCGCCCAGTGCTCTGGGTGCAACACGGTGGCAGGGCTGCAAGGCTGCAGGAGAGCAGAGCAGAGGCTGGCGTGGTGGCAGCACCGAGGACAGACGCCCAGAAGACAGCTGTGTGGGACGACTGAGCAAAGAAGCCCAGAGGACAGCTGTGTGGACAGAGGGGCCCAGAGGCAGAGACTGGCTTGCTGCATGCAGACTCGCTCTGAGTTAACAGGATTCTACTGACTAACCTGCCACCTGGAAATAAAGTTGGGTATAACCCTTTCACCCCAAAGAGCGTTCTGCTGTCAATTTTCTTTGGTCACATTGAACCCATAGTGAATTTGCCCAAGGCTGAAACCCATTGGCAAGACACTATCCTAACGAAATAATTAAAGATACATATGAAGATGCATTATTTATAACACTGAAAAAGTATAAACAACTTAAATGTTAAATAAAAAGAGAATAATTAAACATCATTATGCTATGTCCAGACACTAAAGACTTTAATAAACTAATTTAAAATACCGACAGAGAGAAAATACTCATTATACAGTGAGCAAGAAGGGAGAAAGATATATTCACAAAATATTAAGGTAAAAGGGCAGGTCACAAATAGTAGCACAACTATTTTTGTATTAAAAAACTATTCTTAAGTAAATCAACTATTATGGAAAGCCTGTATAGTAAATACAAGTCTGCAAGACTGTTCATACATTCTCTCCAACTGGTGTGCTTACTGGTTCTCTTAACACTGTTACTTTAGTTCATCTTTAGTTTCTAGCTTTTTCCATGTATTACTTACATAATAAGATTTAAAAATATAAAAGTAAATTATTTTATATCAAAAATTAAAGGCATATATAAAAAGAGGACACAAACCTATGTTGAAAGTATGAATTCAATTTTTAGCATGCACATTTTATACATGCAATGTAAATACTGTATTTGTTTTTCTGTCTCAGGAGGAAAATACACCAAATAGTTGTCTGTAATTATCCCTGGATGGTAGAATTAGAGATGATTTTTATTGTCTCCCTTTTACTTTTTGCATTTCCCTAATATTCTACAATAATAAGGGGGGAGTAATATTTTTAAAGCAACAGCCACTTATACTTCAAATCCGGCCCACCCACCCCAGCAACAGGGTGTCTCTTTTCTGACATCAGCAGTACAGCCCCGTCGCCTTAAAGCCGTCCCAAAGCTGGCCTGGGACCTTCGGGGTTGTTCACTTTGAAGTGTAAACTGCTTTGGGTCATCATGAATTTCTTCTCTTTGGCCAAATTCCCACATGTTGGGGGATGAACCAAGTAAGGAAATTCTACCATTTTCAGAGGCAGAAATCTTCCTTTTGGCTATTGTAGAATCCTACGAAAGTTAATTTGTTAAAAAAAAAAAAAAAGTGAGGGTGAGGGAGAGACCTCTGCCAGCCCATGTGGACAGCATTTTGATCCTCCAGATATACTAGACATTAATATGTCTCTGCCCTAAGGTACTGATACAGCCAGAAAACAAACTGTTTTATCAATGAACCGGAGATTGGCCAAGGCAAATCTAATGATAATTAATTCCTTGAAATCTATACAAAAGGCTTTTTAAACTAGTTTAAAATCCTCCTAAGGATTAGATGCACTTTAAAAATCAGTCAATAAAGTAAAGGCCCAAATAATTACCTCTTCCTTCTCGTGCAGCATGATGTGCGCTTTGAGGCTCGCCACTCTGGAGAATTTCTTGTTACACACAGGACAGGTGGGGTCCTCCCCATTGTGGGTGCACTTATGAAGGGTCAGGTTGAATTCAACATTAAATGTTTGGGGGCACTGGTCACATCGATGTGGCTATTTGGAGAGAAAAGTCAATAAGCCACTGAAATACAATTTGTCCACAGTAAGTCATTCAGATATTAACAAGCACCACAACCTGCAGACGTTTTCCTAAGGAACCCCTGAAGCCTCTTTCTGACCTAAAGTCAGTAAATCTAACAGACAGAGTAGAGCTCCTTACAGAACTTCTCAAGGGCTCTAAGGACAACACAGCTGCGTAGAAGAAATGCTGCCCACAAGGGTCTGTGAACACAGACATGAGAAGCCTCAACTCTGTCGGGCCTTTTCCCTTCTTTCCTGACCAACTCCACGGCTGGAAACAAAGTAAGAAATCATAGAAAGTGTTCATTAGGTTTTACCAGCCTAAGATTTCCCCAAATGGAAGGCATGCTCCCAATTACTAATCAAAAGAGAAAGCCATCCCTGGTATTTCTGTCTGAAGGATCAAGACCCTAAGGAGTCAGGACCTCAGGCCGTCAACTTGCAAGGAAAATGCCTGCAGGTACACAGCGGTCAGTGCGGATCATGAGAGTCACAGTGCTGTCACCCGTGCAGGAGGTCAGGCCAGGGCCGGACACATCCCGCTCTCGGGGGGGAGATCCCTGGCCCTCTTCTGCTCTCCAGCAGCCTCTAGCTTGCATGCATCCTCCTGACCTGGGAGCAAGTCGGCAGGCACTTGTGTGACTGAAACTGTAAATGGCGCTTTCTATCAGGCAGGTCTTTCATTAACATGCTGAAATTCTCGACATCCCACAAGGAGCACTGAAAAAAAGGGCCCAAGTCGCCTTAAGATAGTGCTGCTCCCTGCTGAAATTCCACCTAAAATATCTCGAGTACCATTTTAAAATCAAGACCACGTAAGGGTAACATTTCCTGCTAGAGAAACACAAATCCACATCAAGGTATGTGCATTCAGTATGTATGAAACCAAAACTACAGAAGAAGTCGTATTTGAAGATTATTTCTTTGTCCACCCAAATAGCCTCAATACATAGATTCACTGGACAAGCTCTCAGTTTTTCTCATTATCTAATAATGCCAGGACTATAACTAGAACCAAAAACAAAATATCGAAATATTTATTTATATCATATAAAATGCCCACAATTCAGGAATCTAAATTATGAGAAAAATTTTCATTTTGCATGTTGACTGGTACAGTATATCCAAGTTTCAGCGTTCGCATTCCTGACATCCCTTTAGAAAATCCTACCTTGTCATTTCGCTCGTGGTCCTTCATGTGGCGTTGAAACTGGGACTCTTTTGGAAAAGACAGCAGACAGATTTCACACTTATGGAAGCTTGGAACTTGATAGGCATAATTAGTGTTCTCCGCATTCAATGTTAAAATTCCATCTATAAAATTGTGTAAGCACAGAAGACAAATACCATTCGTTATCCTCACAGCATAAACAAAACCAGATTATGTCAGATTTATGAGAGATTTTAAATGAAATTAATGATATCTTAAATTTTTTAACTGACATGTTTTTCAGTTAGGAATGAGGAGTGTGGAGATGACTGGGGCACAGGACAAAAGAATTCTACATACACATTCACAGGGTTTTCAGAAACCCAACACTAAACTCCTGGAGCATGATACCACACAGACACACAAAAGCCATGTTTCTAACTGTTGCCTACTTGCTTAATTTTATTTCACAGTCTCTACAAACGGTGGAGGCAGTTCACCTCTAAATCACTGAGAACTCGTCAAAAATCAATGCTGTTTCTTAAATCACTCAGTAAGCAAATCTCTGTCAGAAATACACAAGCTAATTCACGAATTCAATCTACCTGAAAACCACTAGAGCAAGACCGAGTCAGAGAGACACGCTTGTGTCTGAAGAGGCGAGCAGCCGGCGCCCTCTGCACCGGCCACCGCATTCACAGGTGCTCCTCAACCCACTTAGGTTAACAGCTACAGCACAAAATAGTTTTCAGATAAGAACAAATATGTGATGACCATAAAAATTTGTCAAGACTGTCATAAATGAAGATATCCTATACCTCTACAATTCTTTAAAATAAGTAAGTACACTACAAGTCTTATAATTTGGGCACAAATACATAATACATACTGACTATATAATGACTAGAAATAGGTCACATATGACTCTTTGTATCAAATTTGACCCCAAAATATTAGAATTTAGAAGTCTGGAAGTAGGGTAGGGGTTAATTTTAAGTCTTCTCTTTCTTAAACGCCCATGTGGTAATAAACACAGGCTCTCCAAATTTGCTATAGACCCTTAAATCCCTCTTGAGAAAACAGCCTACAATTCCAACCCTGGCCAACAGTAGAATCTCGCTGACCTCCCGGCCTACAGTAGAATCTGTGCTAAAGCAAGAGTCATGAAACCCCAAGGACCGCAGGCGGGGCGGAGACAGGCGGAGGAAACTGGCAGAGCCCCGAGTAAAGCAAATGCCAGTTTCAAGAAATACAAATGTAATTCGAAAGTCTCTAAATCTATTCACAAACAAAAGGAGTCTACTTAAGGAAAAGATACAAATAATTTTTATTATTTATTCTTAATATTATTTACATTTTACTTAAAGGCCGTACACTCAAAATTTCTACTAAACTGGTAACAAAATGCTTTCTGACTCCCCAGGCCTAAATAAACTGACTGTTGGGGCCACATCAATTGATATATTAATTTCCGCTGGTAAAGTTTGTACTATGAGAAGAAAGAGTTTAAAGGTTAGAAAGGTACAAGTATCTGTTGAAAATTTGGTAGCAAGTGTTTTAACCTAGAGGCTGAATACCATGATGAAAGAGCTCCTCAACCTAATTACTAAAATGCAAAATTAAAAGGCTATTTTGGGATATAGAATTAAACAATTTTCATAGCCTCTATTTTGAAACTATTTAATATGTTCCCCCAAGGTGAGAAGGGATTTAATTGTAATTGCAATTGATAGATGAAACCCTGAAACAAGAAACCACACATGTAAAACTGAAAAAGGATGTCATTTTTGCTTCTGAATTAACACTTTTCCAGAAAAGATTTTTATCTTGAGAAGCAAGACTGCCCTCTCTAACAAAGCACAAACCAATATAAAACTTTTTCAGTAAGTCCCTTACCCCAGGGATAATAAAATATTAATTTGGTTCAAAGACAAACTTTAAACAATAAGTCAAATTAAAGTATAACTGGAGGGAACAAAAAAGAAAACATGTTTTAGTTTCCACATTGAGCATTATGCTAAATTCCACAGCATCTCTAGACTTTCACTTAGCATTAGGGGAACGAACATGCTTTGTAAATGTGGCCACATCCCTTCACACTGAGAGGTCTGAAGCTTTTCTCCCACTACCAGGTGGGCCTCTGTCATCCACACTTGGCTTCCTTTCTGCCCAGTGTTGGTCCTTCCTGGGAAGGGTGCTGGTCCTCAAAATCACCCCTTTTGTCCATCACCTCTTCAAGTTCACTCAAATTTCTGGTCCCCAGAGTAGTAGTTGTTCAGAAAGAGGTCTATGAAATTAATGGATCCTTAGGATGGGCTTCAGGAGGTCCCTGAACCCTGAAAAAACTATACACAAATACTGTACATCCACATATATGTCTACTGTTTTTTGGGGGGTGGGTGTACCTGCAACCACAAGGACCATCAGATTTTTTAATGGGCTAGGGATCCAGGTAGAGATATAATCAAATGAACGGCAGCCCCTTACTGGTCAGCTCCCCTGAGGACAGGCAGCAAAGGAGCTTCACAGGGGGTTCTCGGCAGTCCCTACGCCTAGGGTCTCCCAGTCGGAACAGGTACTCTCTGCAGTTCCTCCCTCTACACACACAAAAAGCACAAAGCTACCTGCATTTAGTTGTGCTCAAATCTGAGTTCATCTACAACAGTGTTTTTCAACTGTATGCTTCTGCCCCCAGGGGACAGGGCACGGATCACTGTAAGATTTTTGCTGGTGCCGAAGACTCAGGATGCAGGGTGCCAGGTGGTGAGCCCCATGACTTCACACAAATACGGCCGCTATTCTCTGCAACCGCTCACCCTTCCTGCTCAAAGAGCTCAAGTTCACTGTGACAATTAAACAAAAACTGATTGAATGAAAAATCAGAAACTGGGCTTTGTTTTCCTTGAGAAAAATTTGAAGACTAGTTTCAAAATCAAAATAGAGATTTTCAGTAGTTTATAATAGTTGTCCATCTACCACCCCCAAAATAAGAAAGCCTCTCTCAAAGTTGTGTCTGCTCCTTGATGCCCCAGGGACAAGAGCCTGCCGATAATCTGGGCACACATCCTTCTCTTTACTGCACATCCTTGCCACTTGCTACCCGGCCCACCGCTCCACAGCTACACGGTTCCAGCACTACAGGCAGGCCTGATCTGTGATGACCTGGGACGGTATGAGCCCATCTTATGGATGCTCTTCTGCCCAGACCAGGCCCAGCAAACAAGGCTGGCCAGCTGAATCAACACGGCAAAGGCCTGTCCTTATCCCCAGTCTAAATAGCCGAGGCTTATCTCCTGTACAAAATGTCTGTCTGCAGTACATTCAAAATTGCAGTAAAACCTACCACACTTACAGCATTCGTGGACTTAACTCAAATTTGCATTCCCTGATGACTCTTCAGTACTGTGCACTTAAGAGCTCAGCTATCCATAGAGCCTGAGGCATTTTGAATATTAAAATGAGACATACACCAGTTTCAGTTTCTAAAGTAACTTAGCTTACCCCCAAACTTTTATCTGCTTTTATGTTCTGAATAAAAATCTTACCAAAATACAGTTTATCTCCCTCCCTATCTTCTGTTCTCCACAGACACCCCCTCCCCCATTACCCCCTCCTTTCCTCCCAGCACCTTAGGTTTTGCTCCCACTTTTTCACTCTGACATATAATGCACCCTGAAGTCCCCAGAGACGTCTTCAAGAAGTCTGACAGCATCACCCCTACTTTAAGCTGCACCACTTTGACCAACCTCTGCCAGTCTATCTCCTTTTTTTTTAATTACCTTCCACTTTCTTTTCTCCCTTTTTTCCATCACTCCTCCTACATCTGCCAGCATTCAGGCATCAGCAGAACTCAGGTAAAACTCTGAAGTGTTTGGGCCCATAGATCCTTTCTGCCCCACCGCTGGGTCTCCAAAGCCTTGCCCAAGGCCTGGCACAAAACGTGTGCCTAACAAATCGCTGCCAAGTATTTGGAGATAAGATAAAAGTTAATGGCTTTTATGGTCTCTTCCTAGTTGTCTGAAGCTCCCAAAACCAGTGTCTCTAATTTATACTTGTAGCCACATTGACTCAAGCCCTTCACCTCAAAATCACCTGTTAGAGTCACTGTTTCCAGCTTGTCCGGTGCCTGCCAACCATTCTTACTTTGCACACACCTTGGCCACTGGTTGTTCCTAGTAGCTCACTGAAATGCAGCTACATTATTTTCTTGGGAGACTCTCTCTCACAAAACCCAATCCTCTAACCTAGAAGCCATACGGTACCAGCCACAGACTCCTGTTTCCCTCCAGGACGGAGAAAACATCAGTCAACTCAAACAGTGCCAGCACGGACAGGTGGGTAGCATCGGGGAGGCTGCTGCACTGACAAATTTTACCTGTTACCTGCTCAAATGTATCTACTGTTAAGCAGGTACTCACTTGGAAATGAAATGTACTCACATGGGAAATAATCCTCAAAATGTAATCAATGAGAAAAGCCATATAGTCTAGATATCATTTCTTTAAAAAAGAACCGA